CTCTCCTACCCTTGTTCAGCTTCGTAGTCTCAGCTTCCAAGTCAGTACAAAATGCACTGGGGCACTTTCGAGCATTCGTTTCTGCCCGCCGCGACAAATGCATTATCCCCCAAATCGTGTCCAAAATAATAATGGCTTTTGCGCGTACGATTCTGTCCCATTTTAACTCCGCCAAAAGAGCACGCGAGTGCATCGCCATTGGAAGCTTCTGCTCGTCTAAATTGTCATGGCGACATTTCTTAACGGAATCGTGAGCCGGGCCAACCGCCGCCGCCATTCGGAACAAACGTGCCGGCAACGTCACAGAAGAACAGCGCCTGTGCCAGGCTGGGTGCACTTTCGAGGCCGTCGAAGCGTCGAAGCGTCGAAGCGTCGAAGGCTCTCTCGCTGCAACTGGTCGGTCGAAGGAATCTACTTAGTTCTTTCGGTAAAGCCATCACGTATAATTTAAATAATAAAATAATAAAAATAAAACATAATAAAATTATTCTCACGACGTTTCGGCCACAACGCAAGTAGCCGGAGAACAGGTCTGTCGAGGAGACTCTGTTCTCCACCTGAGGACGGCTACTTGCGTTGTGGCCGAAACGTCGTGAGAATTATTTTATTATGTTTAATTTTTATTATTTTATTATTTCAATTCTACGTGATGACTTTACCGAAAGAACCAAGAAGATGAATCCCTGCAGTCACGAAAGCGTTTAAATCGAAATTTGGTCCGAGGAGGTCACGGGACGAGAGAGCCACGTTGCCGTGGGACTGACCTGACACTCAGATTGGCCGGCCAATGCGCCATCTGTGATGCCCAGCTGCGTCACAATCGCTGCGTTTAATCCGCCCCCGCCACCCACCCCCTCGTCGCTTCTCTGCCCTCCGCTGTTGCTGGGGGCTACTACGTCACCACGCAGGGATTGGTGGATCACGGCGGCGATGAGCGAACGTCTTGTCTGTGATGTCACGCGCGGCGCGAAAAATCGGGGAGATCAAAGTAAACTATTAAACAATGGTTTTTTTTGCCAGTAGATCTGTTTCAGATGCGACCTGGGCACAAATGATTGCTCAACGAAGGTGGCTTATCATCATCATCGCATGGAAATGTAGATCAGTCAAATGACTCCAATGCGTGACGTTGATTCTAAATGTGGAGGGGAAAACCCGGAGGACCCGGAGAAGAATCCACGCGACTACGGGGAGAGAGAGAGAGACGCAAACTCCAAATGTACAGCAGCAGGCGTCAGGGTCAGGATCGAAACCCACGAGCTCCTGTATACCAGGCGAGGTAGTTAACATCTCCTAGCCACCGTGATGATGATGAGAGAGAGAGACGCAAACTCCAGATGTACAGCAGCAGGCGTCAGGGTCAGGATCGAACCCACGACCTCCTGCATACCAGGCGAGGCAGTTAACATCTCCTAGCCACCGTGATGATGATGAGAGAGAGAGACGCAAACTCCAAATGTACAGCAGCAGGCGTCAGGGTCAGGATCGAACCCACGACCTCCTGCATACCAGGCGAGGCAGTTAACAGTCTCCTAGCCACCGTGATGATGATGAGAGAGAGAGACGCAAACTCCAAATGTACAGCAGCAGGCGTCAGGGTCGGGATCGAACCCACGAGCTCCTGCATACCAGGCGAGGCAGTTAACATCTCCTAGCCACCGCGATTGGTCAGGTGATTCCAATTGCCGTGCCAAAATGAAAGTGGCTTCCATATCCGGGGTAGGGTGCAGTAGGAAAGATTGGAATTGTTGCAAACAAATTAAGCAAATTCTTAAATTTCTTAATTTGTTTTCTTTTTACAAATGTGCCTCTCACAAACAACGTCCCGTTTGGACTCGGGACGATACAATATTTCTCTCCCATGCGTGCAAGCGTAGCAGGACAGCGTGGGCCAAATCATCGCCGTCTCTGAAAGGTATATAGATGAGTTTCACTGCGCGTTAGTGCGTGTCTTTAAGTCACTCCACTATACACACACACACACTTCTTACACATCGTAATAGACGTTAATATTTCAGAAGAGAGTGGCACGTACAATTAATGATAATAATTATCATTGTACATACTTGCAAATGTCACAATAATTGTCGGGTGTTAGAGGCCAATAACTTCGACAAGAAAAACCTCCTACCACGTCGCTTAAAATTATAATAGTGGCCTAATAATGTAGTAGTCATTATCATGGGTTAATACTGTGGGTTATGTTTTTTTTATCATAGTATTAATAGTAACATAGTATTAATCATGGTATTAATAGTATCATCGTATGAATAGTATTCATCATGCTATTAATAATATTAACATAATATTAATAGTATGATATGATAATATTAATTCTAATCGTATCATATTATAACGCTACAAAAGCCTACGTTGTAAATGATCTCGATCGCGGTTGCCGTCTGTAGTTGTTGTTGTGTACGTTGAGATTTTATTTACGTTTTCTTTGGATCTTTCGGTAAATCACGTAGGTATAAAATAAATTAAATTAAATCACGACGTTTCGGGCACAACACAAGCGTCCTTCATCAGGTGGGACAACCACAGCAAGAAACAATTGCTTCAGCAATGGTTTATTTTCGATTTAAAGCTTTCGTGACTGCAGGGATTCATCCTCTTGGTTCTTTCGGTAAAGTCACGTAGAAGGGAAATAATAAAATAATAAAAATGAAACATAATAAAATCAAATATATTTTATATATTATATAAAATTAAATATATGAAATATATATTTTATTTTATTAATAAAACATAATAAAATAAAATATTTATTTAATTTTATTAAAATAAAAGATATATTCTATTTTATTGTGTTTTATTATTAAAACATAATAAAATAAAATATATATTTGATTTTACTAAAATAAAATATATATTTTATCTGGTTATGTTTTATTTTTATTATTTTATTATTTCCCTTTTATGTTACTTTACCGAAAGAACCAAGAACATCAATTGTTTCCTGCTGTGTTTATCCCACCTGATGACGGACGCTTGTGTTGCGCCCGAAACGTCGTGATTTAATTTATTTTATTTTCTACACACGTGACTTTACCGAAAGAACCAAAGAGTATGGATCCCTGCAGTCACGAAAACTTAAAATCTAGATTTTATTTACGCGCCACTCGATTGGGCGATACCGAACGTGACGTTCCCCTGGCGTGTCCCCGATGCTTCTGCAAGGTTTTGATTTCAGCAAAAAAAATATAAGTTGCCCGTCACCAAACGCCACTTGTGTTTTTTTTTATCGTAAACATCCATCGAAGTGTCGTCTACGCGAGGCCTATATGCATTTGTACATTGACAAACACATATGCACGCAAAATCACCGCTGTGTATTTGACAAATATATACGTTGACTCTTTTGGTCATTAATATACAATAAGTATTTAACTCATATTGGTTTTCATAAGATATATTTTTTTGCGGGGGTAGGGTTATGCTAATTTCTTTACTTACCACGTATCCCAATGTAAAATATACTACTCTTAATTTGAAAAGCCACACATTATAGCTGCGGTTATTTTCAGTTTCGTTTACTTAAAATACTATTCGTATTAACGTATTACATGTGTGCGCGCGTGTGTGTACGTCAAACTTTTTTCGCACCGTACGTAGCCAACCGTGCTAATCAGAGGCGCTCATACATCTATCAGCTTGACGCATGCCGTACAAGGCATCGCCCCAACACCGTTACCGCCTCCCCCCCCCCCTTTACAGGGACGCCTCTGCTTACGAACAAGTTAGGTTCCAGAGGTCTGTTCGTATGTCGATTTGATCATAAGTCCAACTTTACTCCTGTCGATTCCAAACATGTTGTACGGCGTGAACACTAAACACGGGGAATGGCTTAAAAAGTTGTAAAATCTCCTGTAGATGTAGATGCCACTGGTTCTTCACGTTCTGCAGATGTAGATGCCACTGGTTCTTCACGTTCTGCAGATGTAGGTGCCACTGGTTCTTCACGTTCTGTAGATGTAGATGCCACTGGTTCTTCACGTTCTGTAGATGTAGATGCCACTGGTTCTTCACGTTCTGAAGATGTAGGTGCCACTGGTTCTTCATGTTCTGCAGATGTCGGTGCCACTGGTTCTTCACGTTCTGTAGATGTAGATGCCACTGGTTCTTCAAGTTCTGCAGATGTCGGTGCCACTGGTTCTTCACGTTCTGCAGATGTAGATGCCACTGGTTCTTCACGTTCAGATGTAGATGCCACTGGTTCTTCACGTTCTGCAGATGTAGATGCCACTGGTTCTTCACGTTCTGCAAATGTAGATGCCACTGTAATTCACGATCTGTAGATGTAGGTGCCACTGGTTCTTCACGTTCTGGAGATGTAGATGCCACTGGTTCTTCGTTCTGTAGATGTAGATGCCACTGGTTCTTCACGTTCTGCAGATGTAGGCGCCACTGGTTCTTCATGTTTTGAAGATGTAGATGCCACTGGTTCTTCACGTTCTGCAGATGTAAATGCCACTGGTTCTTCACGTTCTACAGATGTAGATGCCACTGTTTCTTCACGTTCTGCAGATGTAGATGCCACTGGTTCTTCACGTTCTACAGATGTAGGTGCCACTGGTTCTTCATGTTCTGGAGATGTAGATGCCACTGGTTCTTCACGTTCTGCAGATGTAGATGCCATTGGTTCTTCACGTTCTGCAGATGTAGATGCCACTGGTTCTTCACGTTCTACAGATGTAGATGCCACTGGTTCTTCATGTTCTGTAGATGCCACTGGTTCTTAATGTTCTACAGATGTAGACGCAACCACCTCCATCTATTGCGCGGCGGTTGGACTTACGGTTCTAGGTCTAAACAGGCAACTGGACCTACGGGACCAAGTTTGTTCGTATCTCTGAAAGTTCGTAAGTCGAATATTCGTAAGTAGAGGCGTCCCTGTACCCCCCCAGCACCACTCCCCCCTCCCCGCCCTGCCGTCCCTTCCCCCCAAACTCCAAAACCGTCCTCCTCCCCAACCCCCCCCCCCCAACATAGCCTACACGAGTCACCACGCTGCTGTCATTAAGGCCACGTGATAGTCGTCGAAGTTATGCGTTGAGGAACTCGAACAAGACAAAGGCTCCCTACCGGATGACACGACGGTTCACACCAGAGATCTGTACTTCTGTACTCGATGAGATGAGGATTCTGTGCTGGATGAGACGGTGCTGTTTAAAAAGAAAGCGATTCACTTAATTTGGCAGCTCCCCCGAGTTGGCTCACTTTGTAAGATGAACTTCAACAACAACAACCGCCATTCGCCACTAAGTGGTGGTGACGTCACCACGACACTTGTGCTAGGCCAAGTGCACCTTGAGGCCACGTGAAGTGTCGAACGCCCGCTGGCAGGAGGTCACGGGGCAGACCCAGTTGCCACGGGTCGACTGACCGAGATGACCGAGATAACTTCAAACACACACATACACACACACACGCGTGTGTATGTGTGTGTGTATATATATGTTACGGGGAGTGGTAGTGTAGCGGTTAGCACACTGCGCTATGAACCCGGCGACCTGAGTTCGACTCCGCTCATGGCCACCACCGGTGACGATTATCTGAACCAGTCCTGGGCCTCCTTCCATAGGTCGACTCTGGTAGCTGTGCCCAAGCCACGTGTGCCTTTGTCCTGGGCGTCCCCTAGGTCGACTCAGCCACAAATTAATATTTCCTGCGGTGTGTAGACATCGCCACCAGGGTAACAAAGGCGGCCGGGCGTGGTGGTGGCCACCCACCACCCCGTATACCATGTTGGTCTTCATCGGCGCTGCTGCTCGCTAACAGCACTTGCCCCAACAGTCTGTCAAGGCTACACGGGGTAGATATTGTATCTGCGTGGTGTGCGTGTATAATGAGCGAGCGTGTTTGCTAGAGCACTTGGGAGTAAAGAAACAAATGTCTATAGCGGACGAGGCCAGGGCCACAGGCATAATTCTCAACTCTCCCTTGCCACCCTTCCCACGGTGGTGGGCAAAGCAGTAGCAGCAGCCAGAGGTCGCAAACGGGTTTTGATTCCTTACCCGTACCCGGACGCACCAGGGTCGAAAACGAGTACCCGTACTCGTACCCTATCCGATACCCGGCTACCCGTACCCGGCCGGGTATCGGGTAGGGTACGGGGACGGGTACCCGATTGCGACCTCTAGGATGAAGCCATGTTGCAGGCGCGGGTGGGTTGATTCTAGGAACTTGAATTGTGAGAAGAGACAAGACGTTGGAAAATGAGTGACAAACGGTTACTCACCAGTGACTCACGGCCTACCCGTACCCGGCCGCACCAGGGTCGCAAACGGGTACCCGTACCCGGCCGGGTACGGGTAGCCGGGTATCGGGTACGGTACGGGTATCGGGTACCCGGTTGCAACCTCTGGCAGCAGCTTGGTGAAGATTCGCTCTCGGGGTGGGAGATTGCCAGGGAGGTGGTGAGGGTTTTGTACCCACTGCCATGCGGTTGTTTAAAAATTCACGAACCTCTGGCTCAGAAAGCACGCGGCACTCTGGGACGTCAACAACAACAACAAACAAAGACAACAACGACAAACAGATAATAACGCTCCTTTCACGAGTGGGCTTTTGTTTTTTCACGACCGATGCGCTTTGATTCATAATTGGACACATTGTGTGCTCGATCGTCGCGTAAGTGGAAGGGTATATTTATTATATTGATACATTTTGTACCGAAACGGAGCCGGTCAAGTTGACACGTGATGGGCTAAACGCGCGTGACAACCTCGATTTTGGTCGTCAAATCAATTTGCCTGTAGAAAAAGCCTGATTTTGTTTCACGAAATCTCGAGCTAAACCTCCGTGAAAAAAACCCAATTTGTCAAAATGCCGCTTGCCTTTCCACGTGTCGGTGAAAAAACCAAAACGAGTCGGCACATTCACTCACGTGACAACTCGATTCAATTTGGCTCTGTCGGATGGTGGAGGTTTTTTTTATTTTCATTCGACATTACATCTCTACAAGACGATCCACTCTACAAGATGATCCAGCCTACAAGAAACCCCATTGTGAATCAAAAGACGACGCTGTTTCAATGACGGACGAGTACGATGCAACACCCACCCCCAACTCGGCACCCATCCGCACTTTGCCACCACAGCCGTCTCCTAGGGTGTACGGCGGATCGGGGCGACTGCCCTGGGCCCCGCGCTTTGGGGGGTGGGAGGTTGGGGGGGCGCATTAACGTCACAGTTTCAGATGGAACCCTTCCGGTTTATACTCTTAGTTCTTTCGGTAAAGTCACGTAGGTAAAAAATGAAATTAAAATTAATAAAAAATAAAATGATAAAAATCACGACGTTTCGGAGGCAACACAAGTCTCCGTCATCAGGTGGGACCGTCACAGCCACGACAGCTGTATCAAGTGAGGCAGGGATTCCAAGATGCAAGCTCTTAAATACAAGTTAAGGGGGAGGAGAGGGGGGGGGGGGCTTATGAGAATGTGGTAGCCAATGAATGGAACGTATCGGGAGGGTTTGGGGGCTAAAAGACGGCACGAGGTGCTCGTAGGCGTCGACGTGGACGTGTTTGTGCGCAAGTCCCTGTTGGTGCACATGATGACGTATTGGAGGGGGGGGGGCGGGGCTAAAAGAGAGCACGGGGTGCACGTGTACGTGGACATGCCTGTTTAGTTTGAAGGATTTGCCCCGGGCCCCTCACCCCCTCCTCCCCCTCTTAAGGGATGGCCCCCGTTTTGCCACTCTTTAAGTCCAGAAAAAGGCCTCTTCACTTCAAGACAAAAGGGTTCCGTCTCAGAGAAGTCCCTGCTTTTGGGGGGGGGGGGGGGAGGCAATGCTCGGCCAAAATTCGCTCGTGGTTTTGTTTGTTTGCTTGTTTCAAAACGTCGCTTGTGGGGAGATATTTTAAAAGAAAAATCTGGTGTTACCGGAGGGCGAGGCAAATACGACGGATCTCACCGGCTAGGCCGTGAAGATTGAAATATCCGGTCGGAAATCACAACGAGTGCCACTGCCACGCGCGCAAGGACCGCAGGCATCATCACCTCTCGCTGTACCCCCAAACAAACACACTGCCCCACCCCCCCACCCCCACTCTCTACCGTTTCTCTCAAACGCAAGAGCCCCGTTAGAGTGACCGTCATTCCCTTTAAGATGGTTCTACAAAGTAAGCAAAGACAAAATAATCGTGGCCCCACCCCCCAACCCGCCCGCCCCCCCCCCCCCCCGGTAAAACATTCTATGATATTTCACTTGTTGTCATTATCATAATAATAATACTACTACCGACCCCAGACCTCAGGGGGAAGTTATCCCCACCCACCGAATGTACGGCCCCGTCGCTAACTGCTCAGAAGGAGATGCGATAAACGGCTCGTACCGAGCTCCACAACCCCCCCCCTCTCCCAGCCCAAGTGAACGTCGTGGGTGTACAAATCGCGAGCTGCTCTCGCTTAACGGAGATGCGCGTACGCCATCCCCCGTCGAGGGGAGGGGGGGGGGATGGGGGGGGAGTACACGAGGGAGGGAGCGCGCGTGGATGGGACGGGGGGATGTTGGGGGAGGGGGTGCAGGAGGGGTTAGTAGCTCGTCGCTTTGAAGGAGCGAACTTTTACGGAAGTCTACGGTGATGACCGCGTTCACTCACAGCCCCCCCCCACCCCCCCAGTGGAGTGGGGGGGGGGGGCTCGACAAAGGGGGCTCTCCGTTGTTGAAGCCACTGTGAAAGTCGAACAGAGGTTGAGACGAACTTCTTGGGGGTAGCGGGGTGGGTGGGTGGGGTGGGTGGGTGGGGTGGAATGGTTGGGATGGGTGGGGTGGGTGGGATGGGTGGGGTGGGTGGGGTGGGTGTGGTGGGTGGCTTTGGAGAGTTCCTCATCTGCGCAGAGATGCGAGCCGAGAAAGACAAGCGCCGACTCCCCTGGAGCCACGCGCGCCCCACGCGGAGTCTCGCTCCAACCATTCCGCGGAGTCTCGCTCCAACCAATCCTGCGGAGTCTCGCTCCAACCAATCCTGCGGAGTCTCGCTCCAACCAATCCGCGGAGTCTCGCTCCAACCAATCCGCGGAGTCTCGCTCCAACCAATCCGCGGAGTCTCGCTCCAACCAATCCTGCGGAGTCTCGCTCCAACCAATCCGCGGGGACGTGCTCCAACGTCACAGAGACTCGGCAGCCCACGGCTGACCCACCCCCCCTGCCACCCCCCCTCCTTCCGCACCCCCCCCCCCGCACCAGTCGTACACACCGAACGAATCCACCTATATCTGCGTCTCCTGAATGTTGTCCTTGGAGTTGGTGCGGATGAGCAGCGGCTCGTGCAGCGAGCAGTGCAGCGCGCCCAGGGGCCCCTGCGGTGGGGTCATGACCCCGACCATGGTGTTGTTGTTCAACCCCGCCAGGAGGTGGCCCTCGTGCTCGCCGCCTATGGCCTGCAGCGCCATGCCGAGGCTCTGTGTCATCTTGGAGAAGGGATCGTCCAGGATGATGCCTCCGCCATCCCCCCCGAGTCCGCCGACGATTCCTCCGAGCCCAGCGGTGCCCCCGTCGTTGTGGTTCTCACAGTCGAGCAGACTCTGCTGGTGGTGCAGCTGCTGCTGCTGCTGCTGCTGGTGGTGGTTGCTCTTGAGCAACATGAGCTGGCGCTCGGCGTCACCATCGGCCTGCTGCATGTGCTGCGGAGGAGGACTCTGCTGCTGATGCTGCTGATGCTGCTGATGATGCTGCTGCTGCATCTGCTGCTGCTGCTGCATCTGCTGCTGCTGCTGCTGCATCTGCTGCTGCATCTGCTGCTGCTGTTGCATCTGCTGCTGCTGCTGCATCTGCTGCTGCTGCTGCTGCTGCATCTGCTGCTGCTGCTGAAGAGTGGGAAGGATCGGCGGTAATGACGGGGCGGGCACCGGCGCTCCGGGAACCGACGGGGCGGCAGGAGGCGCCGGCGGCTGAGGAGGAGGAGGAGGGGGCGGTGGGGGCGGGGGAGGCGCGGGAGGAGGAGGGGGGATCATGAGGCCCTCGCCCAGGGTGGCGCCCGTCACCAGCTCGTCGTCCACGCTGATCACCTCGATGGCGCGCGACGGCGCGTGCCGCCCGCCGTGGTGCAGGTGGTGGTGCAGGTGGAGGCCGCCGCCGCCGCCGCCTCCGCCGCCGCCTCCTCCGCCCAGGTGCAGGGGCCCACCGGAGCCGCCGCCTCCGCCCGAGACGCCGCCGCCGTGGTGGTGGAGGTGCGCGGCAAGGCCGTGGTGGTGGTGGTGGTGTTGCTGCTGCTGCTGGAGCGAGTGGTGCTGCTGCTGGCTGTGCTGGTGGTGGTGATGGTGCTGCTGCTGCTGGTGGTGGTGGTGATGGTGCTGCTTGCGCATCTTGTAGAACACGATGAGCATCACCGCCGCCATGAGCGTGATGGCCACGAAGCAGCCGATGATGATTTTGGTCGTCTTCATCACCTCGTCGAGCCCGGCCATGGTCGACGAGGGGTCTCCGCCGCCGCCGCCTCCGCCGCCGCCGCCGCCGTCGGAGATGGGCACCGTGTAGCCCCGGTCGGGCGCCCGCGTGCCGGCAAATTCGACGCCCACGGGGCGACTCCTGGCCGACGCCGGCGTGGAAGAGGTGACCACCACCAGGCTGTTGTTCCAGTGGCTCGACGGGGTGGGGCCCAGCTTGCCGTTGGGCGCGTTCCGGCCTACGCCGACTCCCGCCCCGAACCGAACGCCACCGCCGGCTGCCGACTCTCTCCCCTTCCGAACGGGAGCCGCCGCCACCGCTACCACCGCCGCCGCCACCTCCGCCACCACCGCCCCCGCCCCCGCCACCGTCGCCACCACCGCCGCCACCGCCACCAGCGCCGTCATCACCGCCCGCCTGCGCCACTCCTACGCCGCCCGGTCCACCGCCACCACCGGCACCTCCACCACCTCCTCCTCCGCCGCCGCCACCGCCGCCTCCTCCTCCTCCTCCCTCCTCGTTGCTCGTTTCGCTCGTCTCCACGGTGACCGTGGTGAAGTACGACGTGCTCGAGCCCTCGCCGCCGGGCCCGCCGGCCGCCTGCTGCGCCGACGACGAGCTGACGTTGAGCGTGGCCGACGCCGTCGTGTTTCCCGCCGAGTTGCTCACGAGGCACGTGTAGAGGCCCGTGTCCTGCACGGTGACGTTGGTGAAGTTGAGCGTGCCGTCGTTGAGCACCAGGATGCGCACGCGGTACGAGCCGTGCGTCATCATGGTGCCGTTGGGCGTGATCCAGCTCACCGACGTCGTGGAGGAGGCGCGGCACTTGAGCTCGGCGGCGCTGCCCTCGGTCACGTTCTGGTCGAGGGGCGCCTCGACGATGACCGGCGCGTAGCACACGAAGTGGCTCTGGTCGAGCTCGCCGATGTAGCGCGTGCGCAGGCGCGGCGGCGAGTGGCAGCGGGCGCAGCACGTCGTGTTGGTGGGCACGTTCTCCTTGAGCCACCAGCTGAGCCAGAGGACGTCGCAGTCGCAGTTCCACGGGTTGTGGTGCAGGTGGACGCGCTGCAGCGACGGCAGCGGCGTGAAGAGGTCGTGCGGCAGCGACGTGAGGCTGTTGTGCGCCAGGTTGAGCTCCTGCAGCGAGCGCAGGTCGTCGAAGGCGTTGCGCTCGATCAGGCGCACCTGGGCGGTTTCGGGGGGTTGCGGAGGGAGGGGGGTGCAAGCGGACGTCGGCAGAGGTCGAAACTGAAACCAAACAGGTCTTTCGCTTTAGCACGACAACAATTTGAGACTGCGAGCAGACGCCAGTGGATTATTACGTGGCGGCGGTGGCGTCTGCGTCATCAACAAACCGCCGTCAACGCTTCTCCCGGTGACGATGTCACGGGGGATGCGAGTCCACGAATGTATTTCATTTCGACGTGACACGCCGGTCCAAAAACACAACGATTTGGGAATAAGCTGGTGAGTAAATCTGAACTAAACTATTTCTTAATTTTAGTCAACACCCTACTTGGTTGATTACGTTCTTTCTGAGAATGCTAAATTTGAGAGAGAGATAAAACACAGAACCAGAGACATTTAGACAGACATATAAGTAGAGACAGATATCACAGAGATACATAGAGAGAGAGACATACATAGGCACACAGAGAAACCACGCCTCTGTGTCGAGGCCTTATGTTATCCGACTCTCTGTTGTATTACATTACATTTCTAAGTATACTAGATTTGTGTTTCTATTTCATGTATACCTGATGATGATTGTTTGTGTTGCAATCGAAACGTCGTATGCTAGTATTTAATTTATTACTTTCTCTTGATACGTGACTTTACCGAAAGAACCAAAGAGTAATTCCTGCAGTCACGAAAGCTCCAAATTAAGTATGAACCTTTTTCGATTTAAAGCTTTCGTGACTGCAGGGATTCATCTTCTTGGTTCTTTCGGTAAAGTCACGTAGAAGGAAAATGATAAATTAATATTATGTTTCATTTTTATTATTTTATCATTTTCCTTCTACGTGACTTTATGAACCTTTTCCAATTGGGCTGTGTCGGCTGCCTGCGGGTTTAATGGCAACGGGTGAGCCCTTCGAGCCCGTTACCTGCGAATGCATGAGCCACAGCTTCTTGAGGTTGGAGAGTCCCAGGAAGGAGCCCGACTTGACCTGCTCAAGGCGGTTGCCGGACAGTTCCAGCTCCTCGAGCCGCCCCAGCGATGAGAGGTTGGGCACCTCGCGCAACATGCACATGCCCAGGTTCAGGTGCCGTAGGTTGCTCAGACCCTGTGGGGGGTGGGGGGTTGAAGGATGTGGCAAACGCGGCACGAGCAAAGACAACAACAACAACAACAAGTTCCAGAGGGGTGGGATTTTATGTCAGAATCTGAATCAGAAACGGTTTTAATCGCCATGACAGTTTGCACATAATTCTAGATTTGAAGCTTTCGTGACTGCAAGGATTCATACTCTTAGGTTTTTTTCGGTAAAGTCATGTAGGTAAAACATTAAAATTAATAAAAGTAAAATAAAATAAAAAATCACGACGTTTCGGACGCAACACAAAGCTTCCGTCTTCAGGTGGAACCGTCACAGCCACGACAGCTGTATCAAGTAAATGAGAGATTGCAGGAGCTACCACTCCGTTTATATATAATGGTTGGAGAGGGGGGGGGGGGGGGGACTGGGCAAGTACAGCACACTTTTTATTCATACGGAATTTACTGTGGCCGGAAGGTGCATACATGCAACATTTAGGAATATTAAAAACGTAAATAAGTGATATGAAGTCTATCTATACTAACGTTACAAAGTATAACTAATACTAACGGGCAAAAGTATATAAAATTATTAATAAGTAGACCATATAAAATGTGAAATGTAAAATGTGAATTAGCCGTAATATACAAACTTAAAATACGAAAATACAAATATGATAAACACGTTGTAATTATGTAAATTGCAATGGATATCCGGTACAATGGATACCCATCGTTAAAAGCGAGACGCGGCTGTACGATCGGTCCCCGACTTACGAACGTGGCTCGTTCCCGAGAACCGTTCGTAAGTCGAACTGCTCGTAAGTCGCAACACGGAGAGTCATCGACTGCGTTGAAATGCCCACGCAGACACCCAACTCCGTGCACGAGGCGGACTCATTCGCACCGCTCGGCTGTACAAAATATAGCGTCGCGGTTCAATTTGCAAGCGAGAGGTCGCGTTTTAAGTGAGTGTTTAATAAGTATAACCCGTAAAAACAAAGTTTTTCACTATAAATCTTTTATATGCGTGGCGGCTAGAGTCCTCTCGTCCTCTGGCTTGAGATGGCTGCCACCTATGGGTCAGATGATTGTCTGCCAGTATTAAGCAATTGGTAATTAAATATTTAATTTGTTTTCCCTAAACAGTGTAAAATTTTGGAAAAAAATTTTCACGAACATTAATTGTCTCGCACAACGAGTCTGTGTGCAAAATGTCAGCTCGATTGGATCACGGGAAGTAGGTTAAAAAACGACCGAAAGATTTGCACGATTGTAAGCAAGCAAGCAAGCACGCAAGCAAGCGAACTTAATATAAAGGATTTAAAAAAAAAATGTTTCGTGGAAGCTGCTTCGTAAGTGTGGATAGTTCGTAAGTGCGGGTGTTCGTAAGGGGCCGTCCATAAATGACGTCACGCACCTAGGGGGGAGGGGGGGTCAGACATTTGTGACGATGTGTGACGAGGGGGGGGGGGGGGGGGTTTGAGAAATGTGACGTAACATCAAAATGCGCAACTTTAAATAAATATAGACAAAACATTCTACTTAATTAAATAGACTTTTCAATAAATGTTTTCTCCTGCAACATCAGAGTGCAGCGCCGCATTAAATACGCACTACAATGACAATAGTTGAAAGCGATTTGAAGCATGTTTTTTTGGGGGGGAGGGGGCAGAGCTTTGTGACGTCATATTTGAGGGGGGGGGGGGGTCTGACTTTTTGTGACGCCGTGTGACGAGGGGGGGGGGGGTCAAAATCACGTGACGCCATTTATGGACGGCCCCTAAGTGCGGTTGTACGTAAGTTGAGGTGTTCGTAAAACGAGGACTGCCTGTCATCGCCTTGCCACTTTCGTCGACCTAGACCCCCGCAGCCTACCCCCCCTTCCCCCCCACGCTCCACCACCCCCCCACCCTTCCCCTTTCCCCCGCGGGCACCTCAAAGGCGCCCTCGGAGATGAAATCGAGCTTGCGCAGCTCGCTGAGGTCCAGGCGACGGAGCGAGGGCACGCGGTTGAAGGCCAGGGAGGGCACGCTGGTGATCGGGTTGTTGCGCAGCCAGAGCTCGCGCAGCTTGGACAGGTACTCGAAGGCGCCGATCGGGATGGTGGTGAGGCGGTTGTCGAACAGCTCCAGCGTGTTGAGGTTGGCCAGCCCGTTGAACGCGCCCACCTGGGGGTGGGTGGAGGACGAATTGTGAGTGTGCGTGTGTGTGTGAACGGCTCCAGTTTAACAGCAGAGGTCTCACTCCGAATCAGTCGAGCGGCAATGTCTTTTCATCGGCTGCGTGACGCTGTGTGAAAGCTACCTGGTCTGTCGCTCCGCACGAAGCTTCAGGTCTTCTCGGCCACGGTCATTCCTTCCCTTCTCTATGCTTGCGAAACGTGGACCCCCCTAGTGGAGCATCTTCGCCGGTTGGAAACATTTAGGCTGGCCTGCCTACGATCCATCCTGGGTTTAACCAGGCTGGATTGTGTGAGGAGCTCACAAATCCTTGAAAGATCTGGGCAAAGTCCCATCGGTGAGCTCCTCCGGCAGGCAAGGCTGCGTTGGCTGGGTCATGTAGCTCGCATGCCCAGCCACCGCATGCCTAAACAGCTTTTGTTCGGCCGGATCGAGGGGGCTAAACGGGCGCGGCACGGGCTAGAGAAGAGATGGAGTGATGTGGTACAGGAGGACGTGGAGCTGAGTGGACTTGCCGATGACTGGTACCAGCGGTGTCAAGATCGGCCTCTGTGGAGGAGGCTTGTGAAGGACGCTACTGGGCAGTTGGAGGCAGTCGTCCTCCAACAACAACGGAGGGCGGAGGAGCGACGTCACAACAACGAGCGGAGCGCCGGGTGGCTAAAGCACAGCAAGCTGGCACAGTAGGGGGCACAGGTGGTGCATCAGCCAGTCATCTCGGTCAGTCGACCCGTGGCACCTGGGTCTGCTCCGTGACCTCCTGCCAGCAGGCGTTCGACACTTCACGTGGCCTCAAGGTGCACATGGCCTGGCACAAGCGTCGTGGTGATGTCACCGCCACTTAGTGGCGAATGGCGGTTGTTTTTGTTGTGTGCGTATGTGTGTATGTGTGTGGCGAGTAGCGGTTAGCGCTCTCCGCTACGAATCTGGCGACCCGATTTCGACTCCCGCTCACCGCTAACATCAGTGACGATTACTTGAACCAGTCCTGGGCCTTCCGTAGGTCGGCTCAGCCTCAAAACGAGTACCTGGCGTGGTGTGTAAACATCGCCACTCGGGAGACAAAGGCAGCCGGGCATGGTGCTGGCCACCCACCCCCTCGTGTTGCCGTGCCGGCCTTCATAGGTGCTGCTCGCTAACAGCCCCTACAGTCGAAGGCTACACGGGGGTTCTTTGTCTTTGTTGAAGAGTGAGGTGGGAGCCCGCAGTGAACACACACGCGCACGCACGGCGCTTCTAACGCTACAGCTCAGCAGATTGACCCAACTCATCCCTTCCTCTTCTTGGTTCTTTCGGTAACGTCACGTAGAATGGAAATAATAAAATAATAAAAATAAAACATAATAAAATAATTCTCACGACGTTTCGGCCACAACGCAAGCAACCGTCCTCAGGTGGAGAACAGGCCGAAACGTCGTGAGAATTATTTTATTATGTTTTATTTTTATTATTTTATTATTTCCATTCTACGTGACTTTACCGAAAGAACCAAGAAAATGAATCCCTGCAGTCACGAAAGCTTTAAATCGAAATTCATCCCTTCCTCTCTGCACACCCGTCAGAGTCACCACCATTCATGGTCCGTACGTACGTATGTTGGACTTCTCTCGCACCGTGCGTAGCCAGAAGCGCTAATCGGAGGTGCGGGGAGAAGAACGACAAGCGAAAAACAAAAAGAAACGAGTTTTCAGACTAGATTCAACAGTGCACAGCTCCAGCTAATGTCGGAAGGAAGAGCGTTCCAGACGGCCGCCGAAGCGCATCTGAAAGTGCGTGACGCCAGCGACCGTCTTTGTTCGATGGCTTTAGCCAAAAGCCGCCGCCGCCGCTGCTGCTGCTGCTGCGAGGTTGACCGGAGTGTCGCGTGACGCTGGTGGTTTATGCTCCTGGACGTGATCAGTAGCAAGGTATTGGTGGTGCATTTGTGGCGAGAACTTTGTGTGTGGTGAGTGCGAACTTAATAATTTACTCAGTTTAATACGTAGGCTTTCGCGACCAATATTATTCATAATCAACATTTTTGGGTTGAGATCGCGTTATTTATAAATGTGTCGTAACCCTCCACCACCCGACACGGTCAATCAGTAAAAAAGTGTCACGTTGATGCAATTACCAGCGAAACGTCGTACTACTCAAATTGTTAATGTTGTGGTTTCACGCTTCAACACACCGGTGGGCTAAAGCAGTCAACGTGACACTTTTTTACTGATTGGCCGTCTCGGGTGGTGGAGGGTTACGACACATTTATAAGTAACGCGATCTAAACCCAAAAACGTTGATTATGATTAATAATTTTATATTATATTTACCCAGGAATGTCTGTGTGTCCCGCGCGTGACGTCACTCCACGTCGACCAGCCCCCCTCATTAATAATCATGAACAGGTTACGTCCTCCACATGGACCCACCCCCTCATGAATAATCATGAGTCGGTGACGTCACTCCGCATGGAGAACCTCCCCCCTTATTCATAAGCATGAGCAGGTGACGTCACTCCACATCGAACAGCCCCCCTCATTAATAATCATGAACAGGTGACGTCTTCCAAATGGACACCCCCCCCACCTCCATTAATAATAATTAGTGGGTGACGTCACTCCACATGGGGGGGGGGGCGAGGCGCCTCTTCCCCCTCCTCGGCGTCAACTCACTTGCTGTCTTTTCATGGATTTTCTGTTTGCACTTAGTAACATATTCATTTTAAGATGTTTTTTGTTGTTGATGTTTTTGTTTTTTGTTTGTTGCGGTTGCACCCGATTCAAGAGCCGAATGGCTCACAGGGCTATACCTAATAAATAAATGAACTTGAAATGAAATGAACTTGAAACAAAGGCAGAACCCTGACGTCACGCGATCTCCGTAACGCTGTTGAGACATCGAAGTAAAAAGGACGTCATGATGAACAAGGGATTATAACCTTCAAATGAAACAAATTGCACACGAATGGATGCAATGAATATCACGTGGCGGTCTGCTGTTCGCTTGCAAGTTTCAGATTTACTACAATACACCCGTCCTTGGACGGGCAAAAGGCTAGTAATAATATATTTGTTCAAAATTGGAGGTGCCAGGAAGAGCCGAGTGTGCCAGGAGAGAGTTAGAGACAGAGCGAGCAAGAGAGAGGGGGGAAAGACAGAGATGGGATTTTGGAATTGAGGTGGAACGACGCGGGGGAATCTGGGCCCTCTGCAAGGGGTGGCGGCAATGATTCGGCGACAGATCGTGATGATGGCAGGGCCCCAAGTGGGCTACATGAGGGCCCGGCGGGGAGCGACGCACTGGCCACAAGCAGAAGTTAAAACAATTCCAACAATGACAGCGGTTATTTAAAAATGTTTTTAAAATAAATTAGTGTCCTTTATTTTCACAAACATGACAGCAAAAAAAAAATCCGCAAAAGTATTAAGAATTAATAAAAATGCTAAATTATTTACCGTGTCTCCCGTGTGCTCTCGCTAAAGAGCAATTTTTTACACAACAGCCGCATGAATAATTTAAATTCTCTGCCGGGTGGGTGGTGATTAACCCTTGAGCTGGACCAGTCCCCACCACGAGTCCGTTCACATCACCACCACTATCACCACCACTGTCACCACCACCCACTACCACCACCACCACCACTCCGTCCACAACACCACCACTATCACCACCACTATCACCACCACTATCACCACCACTGTCACCACCACCACCCAGTACCACCACCACCACCACTCCGTCAACACCACCACCACCACTATCACCACCAGTATCACCACCACAACCACCACCACCCAGTACCACCACCATCACCACAACCACTACCCAGTACTACCACCACCTCTATCCAGTACCACCACCACCACCACTCCGTCCACATCACCACCACCACCACCACCACCACCCAGTACCACCACCACCACTCCGTCCACACCACCACTATAACCACCACCACAACCACCCAGTACCACCACCACTCCTCCGTCCACACCACCACTATCACCACTACTATCACCACCACCACCATCACTACAACCACTACCCAGTACCACCACCACCTCTATCCAGTACCACCACCACCACCACCGAGTACCATCACCATCACCTCCTAGTGCCATCACTGTCACCATTCCATCTCCACACCACCACAGCCGCCATCACCACCAACACCATTCAGTGAACACCCCACCACTACAACCTCCACAACCAGCCACACCACCTCCACCCATCCCCACTACAACCACCACCACCACGGCACGGTGTGGTGGTGGTGGTGTGCGTGTCAGTCATCTCAGTCAGCCAACCCATAAAACGCGAGCCTATTCCGTGACCTCCTGTCAGCGAGACCTCAGAGTGCACCTAGCCTGACACAAGCGTCGTGGTGGTGTCACCGCCACTTAGTGGCGAACGGCGGCTTGATGTTGTTGTTGACATGCGTGGACCGTGATTCCGTGATGTGTGCAAAAGCAGCTGAGAGGGAAATCTTCGGGAAACTCCCTGGTATCGGCTGAGCCCGGCACGCACGCAAGTGTGTGGAACTTCTTTCGCACCGTACGTAGCCAACCGTACTAATCGGAGGGTGGGTGAGTGTGTGGGTGAGTGACTATGTGAGTCTGTGTACGAATGCATTTTGACCTTCTTTCGCACCGTACGTAGCCAACCGTGAAAATCGGAGGGTGGGTGAGTGTGTGGGGGAGTGTGTGGGTGAGTGACTATGTGAGTCTGTGTACGCATGTGTGTTGAACTTCTTTCGCACCGTACGTAGCCAACCGTACTAATCGGAGGTGCGGGGGAAGGACAGCAAACGTGGTGTGTGTGTGTGTGTGGCAGCTGTTGTGCGTGTGTGTATGTATGAATCAACCCTCACATGAGTACCCCGGAGCGGTGTGCCAATCGGAGGTGCGGGAATGAATGCCAAAAAATTAACCCGTAAAAACTAAGTTTTTCACTATAAATCCTTTATATGCGTGGCGGCTAGAGTCCTCTCGTCCTCTGGCTTGAGATGGCTG